TAGTGAAATTGGTAAGATTAAGATAATGGCTCTTATGAAGAGCAGCATTATGGACCACTTCATTCTCCAGCCAGTAAGGTGGCTATCACTGGTTTTTTTTGTTTTTTTGTTTTTTTGTGTTTTTTTGAGATGGAGTCTCCATCTGTTGCCCAGGTTGGAGTGCAGTGGCGCAATCTTGGCTCATTGCAACCTCTGCCTCCTGAGTTGAGCTGATTCTCCTGCCTCAGCCTCCCTGAGTAGCTGGAACTACAGGCATGCGCCACCATGCCCAGCTAATTTTTTTTTGTATTTTTAGTAGAGACAAGGTTTCACCATGCTGGCCAGCCTGGCCTCAAACTCTTGACCTCACGTGATCTGCCCGCCTTGGCTTCCCAAAGTGCAAGGATTACAGGCATGAGCCACTGCACCTGGCCTGCTACCATTGATTTTATCATGTAGTCTCAATTTTCATTTCATATATGCTCACTCATTCACAGCTCAAAAACAAAATATATAAAGAAAAACTAATCAGAGTTACAGAAATTAGATTCCGATTTTAGGATACATTGTTAATTTCTCTATATGTACAAAAAATATGAACTTGTTTTTCTGTAGCAAGGAGTGTGCTTACCGTTTTATCCTTCATGTTTTAAATGTTGAAATCTTAAACTCACAGAAATGTTAGGAGAAACGTTACAGTACATATAAATTTTTCCACCTGAATTATTTGAGATGAGGTACTGGGTATGATTTATCATCACCCTGAATACTTCGTTGTATGCTTCTAAGGACATCTTACTATGTAATAGGTTAGTGGAAAAGTAACTGTGGTTTTTGTCATTATTTTAATGGCAAAGACCACATGCAATTACTTTTGCACCAACTGAATAACTGCAATATGCAGATTTGAATATCCCTTACTTGAAATGCTTGGGACCAGGAATACGTGTTGTAGATTTTGGGCTCTGTAGATTTTGGAATATCTGCATTTACGCTAGTTGAGCAGCTCAAATTTAAAAATCCAAAATCTGAACGTGCTCCCATGAGCATTTTTATGAGTGTCTCATTGATGCTCAAAAAGTTTTAGATTTTGGAGCATTTCAGATTTTAGATTTTTGGATTTGGGATACTCAGCCTGAATAACCAAACTCTGGAAGTTAACCTTGATGTATTCCTAACATTTATGCCTCAAAACCAAGGTACTGTTCCCTGGTTGGGGTTGGGGGGGTCTTCTGGCTAATGGAGACTAACTGGGCTCAGGTGTTAGCTTTACCCCTAACTAGCAGTCACTTAACCTCTCTATGATTCCATTTCTTCCTCTGCATATGGATGATAATAGTATCTATTTACCTCATAGCATTATTGCAGAAATAGTTGTGTATATGTGTGTAGAATAGAAAAGTGCCTGGCACGAGCTAGGCACCATGTATATGCTGGCTTTTACTGTTAACACCCTCCCTTCTCCACTCTGTGTGCACTGTTCTGTGCCTGTGTGGTGAAAAACTATAACCCTTTACTCTCCCTTAGCCTCGCCTTTTTTCTCACATGATCCAAGGAAGGTGAGAGGCAGCATTAAGTTAAAGCTTGTGTATATTCTGCCCATATCTTGTAGCCATTGCAAAGGCTTTTATATTTAAAGGTGATTTTTAAAAAGCCTGCTCTTTGACCCACCTCTGGAGCTAGAATTAGTTCTTAGATGCAAGTGTGCTTTCATGCATTGGGTGTCTACACAGGATTGCCATTGGGAAGTATTTTCAAAGCCCTAAGATGTGCTTTTGCAGTGGAAATCTTTAAGGGCCATAAGAATGGATAATTTCCTGGCTATTGGTTGAATAAGAAAGATAACTTTTGCCTTTCAGAGATTGTTATATTTTATAATGCAAAGATGGTTTTGAATATATTTAGTTTTAAAATATTCAGTAGGTGGTGTACTAAAGCTTAGTATTCTTAGCCAGGCCTCATATTACAAGTAGGGGAGGAGATGGGAGAGGGAATTGGTTGGCTGGCCACCCTTTCTATGAGGAAGGGCACCTGGCAATGGAAAGGAATGAATTCACTACCACATCATTCCCTGGAGGCCATGGCCAGGTTGAATGAGAATGGTGGTGTTGGTATGAGTTGGGTTAACCTTATTTTTTGAAACCAATAGCCATCCAGACACAAAAGGACAAAAACTATATGATTCCGCTTGTGCGAACTTACATCACTCTCCAGAGCCTGGCTGGCTAAGACCGAGAAGGTGGATGGCACCTAAGGAGAAGAAGCAGGTGGGCTTCCCTGGAGCAGGACAGCCTTGTTGGGAGAAGCAGAAATGAGGTGGAAGCGGGAAGACATCAGCTTTTAACATGAACAATCATTTTCAGTTAGTAATGCAAGACAGTGAGAAACCTGGTTTTAGTGGGGTACTTGGGAATAGCAAGTAATTCATGTATTTTAGGGTTCAATTTGATTTCCAGCTTTGCAGCTTTGTCTTCTACTGGCCGTGAACTCAGGGATACCAATACCTGCCTCGCCGGCACATATGTGTGAGCGCCAAACGTGGTACTTGCCACATTCTCAACAATAAATCAATTTCTCATTATTATTAGGTTTTTCCATTACTGTTTCAGTGCCTTCCTCCTGCCCCACCACTATACTGCGGATCTCTGTGATTTCTTCCATGTCTGCTTTGTCCTGTGATTCCTGGAATAGAGTCTATTGCTTTCTGTCGCTAGTGTAATTGAAAAGGCTCAACAAGCTTTGGATGAGTGAAGGAAGCTGAAATCTTTGTTTTAATCTACATAGACTTCTGCCTCTCATATTATAGATCTGGCAACCTTAAAATTGCTATTGTGGTGTGGATATTTATTTGTGGCGTTAAGCCAAGTAGCTTTGGTTTTGGTTGAGAGGAGGGATAGTATCTATTTTTTTAAAATCTGTGTTAAATATAATTTTAGGCAGAACTTAACATCTTATCCACGTCAGTGTAAAATCAAACGAAACACATCAGCTCTCCCTGCAGGTAGATCTCTCTTTAGAGAAGAGCTCTGTACAGAAGACTTATGAATAAATTAATTTTTTGTATCTCTAATCCTGTTTTTCCTGAATTATGTAATTACTTTAGGTCAGTGATATAGTAAATGAGGTCTGTCATGTTTTGGCTTTGAGTTTCTTTATTCTCACCTACACTGTGTCCATGGTCTGTAAACAGATACTTAAGTACATAAAAGAATCTTGTCATTTAAAAGTATCCCACAGGGAATCCTATTAAAATGTTAGTAATCACCTGTCAAATGTCAGGTGGCATGAGGTACCAGGTATAATAGGATGCTCCAGGAATGAGTTGGGTAGAGCTGGAAGCTAGGGACAGGCAGGGTCTGGATAGGCAGACCCCCAAGAGTGAATTCCTGTGTTCATTACCCCTTGTCAGAAAGGGACAGAATTAACTCAGGCTCTACTCAGTCCATTTGCCAAACCAAGAGGTGAGACTGGTGGGTGGGATGCAAGCACCGCCCTTTAGGTGTTGGGAGCAGTGATTCTGCCCAGGGGACTATATCATCGTGATTCTGGCCACCTGGTCTTTTTACTCACGGTCTAGTCCAAAGGGAGAGAAGGGCACTGGCTACATAATCAGAGGTTCATGAGGAACAAGCATGCTAGTTGGAGAAACCAAGGCAGCATCATTTATATGGACTGCGCCAGTTTGGTGGTATAAAGAAAAGACTGTGACACAAAGGGTCTGCTATAGCCCAGCGTTTATGGAATGCCATGCCAAGCACAATGGCAGGCTCCCCAGCTAGTACATGGAACTGCAGCTCTTCCAGTCCCCTGCTCAGCGGAGACCCAGAGATGGGACAGGGTTGTTCTCTCAGGTGGAAAGCTCCGGGGACTAGAGCTAGGTGGGGCTTGGAAGGCCAAGGTTGACACTCCACTCACTGCCACACCAGCCTTTCCGCACCACCCTCCCTTGCCTTCTTCCCTTTGGCTAGTGTAGTGTTGTGCTTTTAAAACATAAAGCTAGTGCTCAACTTACGACCACAATTGGTTCCGACAGACCGGTCGTAACACGATTTGGTCGTAAGTTGAGTAGGCTATATGCACGCGGAGATGGTAGTGCTGCCGGAAGCTGGTCCGCACTGTCGTATGCCCAGCTGGGCAACATTTGCGCTGCCAGATGCGGAGCAGTCGTGGCTAGCGATTGTGGTTGTAAAGTTGAATGGTCATAAGTTGCATAAGTTGTAAGTCGATCAATACCTGTATTTCGGGCTGAGTGCGGTTACTCACACCTGTAATCCCAGTGCTTTGGGCGGCTGAGGTAGGAGGACTGCTTGAGCCTGGGAGTTTGAGACCACCGTGGGCAACATAGATCATATCTCTACTAAAAAACTGAAAGCCAGGCATGGTGCTACACACCTGTAGTCACAGCTGCTCTGGGGACTGAGGTGGGAGGATTGGTTTAACCCAGGAGGTTGCGGCTGCAGTGTGATGGCACTGCTGCACTTCAGCCTGGGTGACAAAGCAAGACTTTGTCTCAAAAAAAATGTGTGTATGTGACTACACAGACATATAAATATATTTTAAATATACATAAATATATATTTATATATTTTAAGTAAGTGAACATCTGAGACATGAATATTACAAAAGGGCTCACCTATTGGAAAAGTGGAAGGTACTTGGGAGATCCACTGTCATGGCCTTTATTTTTAGAGAGAGCTTCTACTTGCTGAGACAGTTATGCTACCAGAGAGCCGTGTTTCTGCGCTATTCTCTCCTGGAGGGCTTGTTAAGTTTAATTGCTGGGCTCTATCCCCAGAATTTCTGAATTGGTATGTCTGAGGTGGCGCCTGAGAAGCTGCAATTCCAACCAGTTCCCAAGAATGCTGCTGCCCCAGCGGCCGTGTCTTGAGAACTACTGTGGTAGAGTAATCCGTTTCTTAGTCATGCTGTGAATCTAAATTGTAAATCTATAGTCCATGTCTAGTCCACCATTAATATAAATGCCTTTTATTGATATGCTTGTCTGTGTCTCCTTTGAACAGGTATTTTGATGTTGGCCTGCATAATTTCTTGATCAGGTAAGCCAATAATTTTTGATTTAGATAACATTGAATAGCATAGCTATTATGAGAGGTGGAAATGGAAGATAAATTCTTGTTAAATATCTTGATAAATAATGGCACTTGTATATAAATACTTGTCAAGAAAACATTGCTAACACTACGGTTTTCTGCATCTCCCAGAAGCACACATGATTAAACAATTAAAGAAATCAATGCGTAAAGAGGCTTATTTCTAAAGTGATAGTTACCCGAGATCTTGGACAAGTGTAATTCCAACTCCTAGGCTGCTGGAAACACTAATTGAAAAATTAGGAGTGCCAGCTTCTATTCAGACATTAAACAGCCCCTTTAACCAATTTTCCCTCCACTGAATTTAATCTTTTTAAGTGAAATCTTCCAGTTGCTTTTATAGTTGTGAAGATACAACCTTGTTCGTAATCAAAAGAGATTAGAGATGGCAGTTCATATCCTTGTTTATTGGTGATTTTTGCCAGAGTTGGCTTATGGGACATATTAATTTCAAGTAGCTATTAAACAAAGGTTAAATGGAAATATGTCAGCATATTAATCATATTTTTAAGAATCTGCATGATTTTTTTTTGCTATCAGCTTTGCTGTGTTTTCTAAATGTATTAATATTGAGCATGTATTACTCTAATAATGATGAATAATGATCATTAAAAATGCTTGTCAAAAATATTTAGGGAAGCAGAAATGGTTGCTAAAAGACTGCAAGCTAAAGAAGACAAGGAAACCAGAAATTATGTAGAGTGATTTGCTTTCTGAAAGTATGTATCTCTAAATGCTAGTTAATTCTAGTAGCCTGATAATGAGCAGTCTGTAGACTGTGATTTTTGGGTGAGTGTTATGGTACTTCCGTTTTCTGCAATGCATGGCCATCTCCCTATTGCTAAGACGCTCTTTGAGAGGAAGTGCACATCACTGACATCACCTTTATCTCCCCAAAAAAACACGTCTTCTGCACTGGATGTGGTGGTGTTCTGAGTGAGGCCATGCATACCTTGTCCTCTTTGTCCTCTTTTCCAAGCCTCATCCAAGGCTACACAGTGAAACCTCCTTGGCCTCCCCCAGACTCAAGGATTATGGATGATCCTGGCTTTCTCCAGGATCCAGGCACAGATACTAGTGTGTGAACTGCTGTTCTTGACGAAGCAAGGGTGAATACATTTTAGCAGGATGGACAAAGGACTGGCAGTCATGGGAAAAGAAGTCATGAGCATTCCATAGCTGAACTGATCAAAAGAATCTATCTGGATTTATTAATACTTCAGGGAGTAGTTTGAGTTTTTTATTTGATGTCTTTGGTGCTTTGTACAACTCCCATTGTAATGTTTCCTTAATGCCTTGTAGTGGATGCAAGTTTGTACTCTTCTTATCTTCTCTAGTAAATTTCCTGAGGTCAGGGATCATGTCTTCGTCACATATCAATGATTACATTCAGAAACCTGTATAGGATCAACCTTCAAAAAACATTAGTGCTAGGAGGGAATGAATGAGATGAGACAGAAAGGACAAGGAGGGTGAGGCGGGTTGAGAAGAAGCTGTACAGTCACTTATTGAGCAAATAACTATTAAGCCTACCATGTGCCACTTACTTGAATATGTCTGGGAATGCTGCCACTTGCAAAAGCAGACATTTGATTTGAAGCTTCCCTTGCCAGCCTTGTAGTCGAAGTAAACGGTGATCTGCCTCAGGGATCCCTCCTCTCTTTCCTTCTTCTAGACTCCAACCATTCCTCCTATGTTGAGTCTGGGGGAAGGAGAGGGAGTGGTCAAGTGGCTCTAATGTGACTGGAGCTGGGATCCCCTTGCCCTGGCAGGAGACCATTTTGGGGGAGGTGCTGGAAGATGTGTCACCTGGTCACCTTAACCAGTGTTCTGTGAAGCGAGCAGAACTGGGCCAGTAAGGCTTCTCTCTACCCTGCCATCTTCTGTATTTCCTTTCCCTCACTCAGGTAGGGGGCAGAGCAAATCAGTGGGTTTATCTCTTGTCCAACTAGGGAATGAGAGGTTGGTTTTGCAGGCATCCCTTGCCTCTGGGAGTAGGTCTCTTCCTCTCCCATCACGTGGTAGCACGCCCCAGTAAGCAAGCAACTTAATTCCAAGGAGGCTCTTCCTCTTTCCTCTTCCCAGCTTGGGAGTAAAGGGTAGGGGTGGTGAAGACGGTGGCTGGGAGCAGAGTCAGTTCTCCATTTCTCAGTAATCCCAGAATGGGGTGGATCTCAGCTCCTTATCTGCAGCTGTCTTTAGAAAGTGGGTACTTTAAGCCAGGCACACTGACTCATGCCTGTAATCTTAGCACTTAGTGAGGCCAAGGTGGGCAGATCACTTGAAGCCATGAGTTCAAGACCACCCTGGGCAATTTGAAAAAAATCTCACCTCTACTAAAAATACAAAAATGAGCCGGGTGTGGTGACACATGCCCATAATCCTGTCTACTTAGGAGGCTGAGGCATGAGGATCACTTGAACCCAGGAGGCCAAAGCTGCAGTGAGCCGAGATGGGGCCACTGCATTCCAGCCTAGGCAACAGAGTAAGACTCCGTCTCGAAAGGAAAAAAAATATATATTTTCTGCTCCCAGCTTAGGAGGGAAGGTCAAACCCGATGGGACCCAGCACCATTTATGACTGGGCACCTTAGTGAGAACTGTTTAATTGGGACATTGACCCTGAAGCTAGGTCAAAGAGGGTGGGGGCTCGATGGGATGAGCAGTGAGGGAATGGCAGCAACAGCTCCTTTAAGAAGATGAGCTGTGAAGAGGAGGAAAGAAAGATAGGGCAGCTGGTGGAGAGGGTGGGTAGAGTGGGTATTTTTTCTTTTTAATGGGATGAACTCTTGTATTTAGCCACCGGTAGGCCTTAAGTGTCCTCTAGACTTAGAAAATGCAGTTTCATTTAGGTGGAGAGAAGTAGAATCTGATTGCTAGCAGGAGTGAGTGGTTCCATAGTAACTTCAGACAGCAATGGCATTTTCTTGTAAATAAATCATTAGAGAAAACCTTAGAGAGTTGGAAGAGTGAGAGGGATGATACCTAAGGAATCCTTCTCACTCTGTAATGGCCAAGAGATGAAAATATACTTCCCTTTGTGAAAGAGGAAATGTAGGAGAAATTGCCATAGGCTTTTCCCCCCTAAGATTAACTACATTTATTAGCTCCAGCAAGCTCTTATCATGCAGTTTGGTTTGTCAGGCTGTATTGAATGCTTAGTGTTTGGCATTAAAAAAAGCTGCAGCATGCCTGAAATTAATCAGCTGCATCTTTTAAATTGATGGAAGTCATGTCGACTTCTCTGGAATGACGTAAATTTCCACAAAGCCAAGAGCCCTATCTTAGATCTCAGACTAGGCAATTGCAAGGAGGGACATGCTTCCTTTTAAGCCTTGGAGTGTTCCACTGAGCCATGGGGGCAGGAAGGAGCTGTCACGTTTAATGAAATGTGGGCATTTTTGGTATTAGTGTTTTGTGATGACTGTGGGAAAATTCAGTGAGCTCAGTCCTGCTTCTTAGAGAAATCACGGAAACAGCAATCATGGCTTACCTCGGAATAGTCTCAGAAGAAGCCTACTGGCTGGAGTTCTTAATATGACACTGCACAAGAAAAAGGAAAAAGGTGACCAACCGGTGAAAGAGCATACGGAATAAAAATCTGTTTCATTATAGATAACAGGGTGGCTTGTTTAAATTTAGCTTAGTTTAGCTACGGTAAGAAAGCAAAAAAGTGACTTTTGGTTTGTTTCTCGCTGACTGAGGCATTTTTCTTTATCTTTCTTCTTTTATTTTCGAATAGATGTGGGGTTTTGCCATGTTTCCCAGACTGGGTCTTGAACTTGTGAGCTCAAGCGATCCTCCCACCTTGGCCTCCCACAGTGCTGGGATTACAGGCATGAGCTACTGCACCTGGCCAGCATTTTTCTTCTTACCCAGAATGGTAGCCAGCACTCTCTCTTTTAAGACAAAGGTGTACATGTGGTCTCACTTACATGTGGAATCTAAAAAAACTGAACTCTTAGAAACAGTAGAATGATAGCTACCAAGGTCTGGGAGTGGGAACTCAGAAAATGTCAAGGAATGCAAAATTTCAGTGAGACAGGAGAAGTAAGTTGAAGAGCTCTATTGTACAATATTGACAATAGCTAATAATGATATATTCTTGAAAATTGCTGAGAGGAGATTTTAGGTTTTCTCACCACAAAGATAAGTATATGAAGAAATGCATGTGTTAATTAGCTTGATTTATCCATTTCACAATGCAAACATATTTCAAAACATGTTGTACGCAAATACATATAATTTTTGCCAGTTAAAAAATATTTTTAAAAAGATGAACAATACTTGTTTTGTTGCCTCCTCCGCCTCTGGCTGCGCCTGCCTGGGCTCCTCAGGTAGGGCAGTGGTTTTCAGTGGAGCAGGATAACATCGTGACTTTAAAAAAAAAATGACACCTTGTATTTGTATTTGTGGGGTACAATTTGATGTTTTTATGTATATATATTTTGTAATGATCGCATCAGGGTAGTTAGCATATATGTCATCTTATGCGTTTATCATTTGTGGTGAGAACATCCAAAAGCCTGTCTTCTAACTATTTTGTAATATGCAATACCTTACCGTTAACCATTGTCACCCTTCTGTACAGTTGAACACCAGAACTCACTCCTCCGAATTGTCACTTCGTACCCCTTGACCAGCCTCTTCTCATCTTCCTCACTCTACCCAGTCTTTGGTAACTCCTGTGTTGCTCTCTGCAACTGTGTTAGGAATTTTCTTTTTAAGATTCCACGTATCAATGAGATCATGTGGTATTTGTCTTTCTCTGTTCAATCTTTTCAGTTAACATGATGTCCTCCAGATCCATCCATGTCATCATGAATGACGGGATTTCATTCTTTTTTTTATGGCTGAATAGTATTCCATTGTGTTGCCAAAATCAAATAAAATACACAGATGAATCTCTAAAACGTTGTATTTGGCCCTGGGCACAGTGACTCATGC